TTCGCCGAATCCAATTATTGTTGGTAAAAAAAAGTTAGTATACGTAAAATAATTAAGATCCATTTTCTAAAATCCCTAGTGATCATAAGACCATTATATAAACAAGAGGAAGTCTCACTTCACTTCATATCATCTTCTCCATTAACAACCTAATCATATAAGTTTCTTTCTTCTTATATACTTTTTATATTTTTCAGCAACAGAAGAGAGAGTTAGTGTGTCAGAAATAGGGTGAGAATCCCAATGAGGATCTTACCCGAACCTCGAGGTTCGGTTCCTTGCCTCCTCCTTGTGTCGGTTCTCTTTTCAGCGACTCTCTCTCTCGCCCGTGTCGTTGAAGTTGTCGGTTACGCCGAGAGCAAGACCAAGAACCCCCATGCATATTCAGGTAACTAACTATATATGTAATAACTTCCATAGTATATATATAGTTTAAGTCTTTGTGATTATACATTTGAGCAATGTGTGATATTATTTGTTATTATAGGACTCCGAGTGACGATTGATTGTAAGGTGAATAAAGGCCATTTTGTAACAAAAGGTTCCGGAAACATTGATGATAAAGGAAAGTTTAGTCTTAATATTCCTCATGACATTGTCTCCAACGACGGAGCTTTAAAGGAGGAGTGTTACGCTCAGCTTCATAGCGCGGTCGGAACACCTTGTCCGGCTCACGACGGTCTTGAAGCCAACAAGATTGTGTTTGTATCCAAATCCGGAGATAAACATGTTTTTGGTCTTAAACAAAATCTGAAGTTTTCACCGGAACTTTGTGTTTCGAAATTCTTTTGGCCGATGCCTAAGTTACCTCCTTTTAAAGGCTTTGATCATCATTGGCCTTTACCTCCACCTTTGGAAATTCCACCATTCCTCAAGAAACCTTGCCCACCTAAACTAAGTCCTCCCGAGGAGGTTCCACCTCCGGTTCCGGTTTACGAGCCACCACCAAAGGTGGAGCTTCCACCACCTGTTGTTCACGAGCCACCACCAAAGGTAGAGCTTCCACCACCTGTCGTTCACGAGCCACCACCAAAGGTAGAGCTTCCACCACCTGTTGTTCACGAGCCACCACCAAAGGTGGAGCTTCCACCTCCGGTTCCTAAGAAGCCGTGTCCACCTCCGGTTCCGGTTTACAAGCCGCCAAAGATAGA